TCATAAAAAGAACGTCCAAATCTGACTTCGTATGAAGAAGTTATGATTTTTCTAAGTTTCGGAATAGCAGTAAACAGCTAAAAACTCGAATTTTCTATCGAGTGAATTTTACCCGACACAACCTAAACGAGAATCGAATGTCTCGTCAATAGTAGTACAGCGGTAAAAGGACTGACGAAAACGGACGTCGGATGAAGAAATTATGAATTTTTAACGGATTTTTCTGTCCTGGTCTGTTAAAAATAAAAATAAAAATAAAGTCAAAATTAGCCGACGAAGTCTAAACGAAAGTTGTAGAATATATTCCCGCCTACGCGTGCATATAAAGAATGTCAAAAATGGAGCCCGTATGCGAAAGTTATGGATTTTAGAAGATTTGGGCTCAATATCCGAAGAATCTCGCAAGGATAAGGCCGATTTCGGTGAGTCATGCGCGCCACGTGTCCGAGCCGAAGACCCAGCCGATGACGCGTCGCCTTCCGATTCGTCCGAACAGTGGCCCAATGCGCGTCCGACGCGCCTCGCACCAGGTGCCTCGCGTCCGAGCTTGCTTTCATGTCTCGCATCCGACGTCGCTTCGTGGCTCGCTCCCTCGCTGCCGCGTGTCCGGTGACTCTCCCTTCCTTTGGCCGAACCTCGCATCTCCCCTCCTATAAATAGAAGGCTGCGAGCCTTCCCGAGTAATTTTGAAAAATTGCCAATTTTGACCCCTAAATCAATATTTTAGCTATTTTGACTTCCCCCGAAGCCCCGAAATCATTTCCAACACCCCAAACACACCCCGAAGTGCCCGAGAAGCCCGAGAACTTTATCTTTTCGGTTTGAAGCTCTACCTTCGCAGAACCCGGTTTTCAATAAATCTTCCGGTTTTCAACGAAGGAAGTTATATTTAGAGCCGAAGTGCTGTCCAATTTACTATTTTAACCCCCGGTTATTTCATGGTGGGTTCAATATATAGGAACAATTGTATGTTATGTGTTCTATGTGCTATGTGCTTTCCAGTGTTATTATTCCGGGTTATTTTCCCGTGTTATTTTTATTTCTGCTATTTATGATAGCAAAGCTATACCTTTGACCATGTGATCAGTGAAAGGACTTAGATTCACGGTGGTACTGGTACGTAGCCTCTGGCCATGTAGAGCATGTCTCCGTAAGAGAATGACTTCTATTCTATGGCATTGGCAGATGGTTAGATAGGGCTATAAGCTTGAAATCTACCGAAATGTTTAAATCAGAAAGTGTATGTCTTCCGTGCCATTTGGGCCGAAGCTTTAATGATCGTATATCTTCGTATCAAATCATTGATTGATATGGAAAGTTTGTCACATGATTCACATATGCCTTTGTTGTTTCTTGTTCCTCTTTGCTTATTCCATATTGAAGTATATATATGACATAACGTTATATTGTATCTATTGTTGAACTCACTAAGCGTCACCGCTTACCCCTCTCAGTATTTAACAATTGCAGGTAATAAGAATCCAGTATAGTCATATACTGTTGGAAGATGTAAAATAGTTTTTACTATTACTTTTGTATTTCGGTTTATGTTTGTATAAAATTACAATATCCTGGGTAGTTATGTAAAATATTAAAACATAGTCGGTTTGTATCCAGTCTTTTGTAATCACTTTATCAATGTAAGATATTGTTTTATAAATATGCATGTAGCATGTTTTGGATTAACAATTGTCAAGTATGAAAGTTTGGGTCTTTCAGAAATACGAAAGTTTAGAAAGGGGTTCTTTCAGTCTTAATCCATTAAGACCTTCTACAAGATGCATGGAGCAAAACTAACCATTTGGACTTCATTTTTATGGCTTAGGACCCCTCCTAGGATCTGAAAGGACAACTCAAATTGTCAAGAACATGCCCTGCTCAAGATAAGACATTTAGGACCAAAAGTATCACTAAAACACCCATTTCTAGATCTACATGATTGAAAGACAAAGATGCAAACTTTATATCTTAGAAGACTTGCAAATGAAGAATAAATCCCAAATCCAAAGTGCTTCACTCTTCCAAGATGAGCTTGGTTTTCTTCCTTCTTCTCTTAAACACACAAACACACTCTTTAAGGCTTGAAATGGCTTCACAAGATGAACTAGGGCTTCAAACACAAATGAGAGGGTGGAGGCTGATAAGATGAAGGAAAATGATGTCATAAGGATGCTTATATATGAGCTAAACCCTTAAAATTTAGGGTTTCCTTCTTTGGTAAGTACATCATGCGTACACTGGTGTACGCCATGCGTACTAGGGCACGCCCTAGTACGCTCAGCGTACACCACGTACGCATGGCGTACTCCGAAGACCCAAAATTTACAATAATGCCATTAAAGCGCTTTGTGCATACATTTCTTGAACTTGGGACCAAAATGCAATATAATCAAATTATAGGGCTGAAATTAGAAGTACCTTAATCATCGGGATGTTACAAAAACAATGAGGGTAGATAATGGATATACCTGAAGTAGAGTCACATGACTTGACTTTACTATCTCTAAGATCTTTCAGGTATTATAGGCAACTTCATTTCCAATGCCCATATAACTGACAATACAAACAAACAGACTCATTGGGTCAACACATAGAATTTTATTTTTATTTCAACTTTTAATTGTTTTTTAATTGATGTAATAAAAGAAAAATGGAAAATAAAATAATAAGGGGTATATCTATCATTATAAAAAGTTTAAAATGTTTGGACAAAATTCGCAACAAAATGAAACTTTTGAATCGATAGTGCTAGTCCAAACATTTTTGGAAAAAAAATGACAATTTTAAGCTAAACACCTATATATATTTTGCAATTTTATTTTGTATATATTTCATATGTTTTCTCGGTACTTGACCCTCATATAATTTAATCTCAAAATATTGATAAATCATATCATCCAAATGATCCATGCTAACCCACACAAGACATATGTAAAAAGTCAACCACGAAACAATAAGACATTTTTGGTGTGTCAAACTTTAAAATATACATCTTTTGTGTAGAATTTTATACCTTAACTATTAGATTTTTATTATGAGTATCATATAACTTAGGCCCGTTTGATACGCATATTTCCAGGTCCAAACAGATCTTTCTGGCTGAATGGACCGGAAAGACTGTTTGATTTGCACAAAAAATGGTCTTTCCCGGTAAGATGTGTCTTTCCCAGAAAGCCCCAAAATCATATCTTTCTGGCTGAATGGGCTGGAAAGACAATTATGCACCAAACCCAGCCTCTTTCTTTCTTTCTTGGATTATTATTTTTTTTAAATAACTTTTTTTAAATTTATCTTTTATTGAATTATTACTTTTTTTCATCATTCAGCACAGTCAATCAGATGTACAATCAAACAACATGGTTTCTTTCCCAGTCAGAAAACTTTTCCAGACAGCACTTTACCAGACAGCACTTTCCCAGACAGAAACTATCAAACGGGACCTTAATCTATATGACAAATCCGAGACCTTCTTAACAATTCTAGAAACAATATTTGGCTATTATTAAGCATATTTTATGCAGTGATTAAACAAATATAAAAGAATATTTCTAATGATGCAGATTAGAGGATTTGTTAATTCAATTTTATATGTTGATTGTCATAAGTACAAAATAAGCATTATTATTATATATTTTATCACCATTTGGATGACTATTATTATATAACAACAACCTATGATTGATAATTTCTAACCAGGACAATAGATAAATATGATAAATTGATAATTGATAAGCAATCACTTTGATAATGTGTAAAATGGTAGGTAAACGAAAATATATGTCCGAAATTGTAAAACCCATAAACCTAAAGGACCACAAAAGAAAAAAGAAGAAAAAGTACCTCAATAATTAATAGGCTATGCCACTGGATTCAGGCCCCTTGAATTTTGGAAAGGGAAAGTGGTTTGAAAAAACCTGTATTAATCTCCTGCATCACGGACCACTCTAGAATCAAGAAGAACCCCAATCTCACCAACACGTGTCATTAATCTATAAACTAAGAACCACGTATGGTCCCTGCTCCATCTCACACCCGATCCCTAGCACCTCTCCTCTATAAACTCTATAAATGATCACTTCTCTACAGCAAGAATTCCTTCCCACAGTCCCTTGATCTTTAACCTACACACCCCTCGCTCATCTTAGCGATCGCCAACGTCTTCTTTTAGTTTATACACACAATGAAGTCTGCTGCGCTATCTTACGCCGGGTACGAAGAGCCTCATTTTCTTGAAGCTTGTACTCTTTGCTCCAAGCCGCTGGGTCATAACAGTGACATATTCATGTACAGGTATAAAATTAAAATCAATTCTTTTTTTCTTTCCCAATATGTGCATCATAGACTTGTACCTTTGACAAAATAACTATCGATCGAATCAATCAACGTAGTGATGCAATCTTTTTATAAAGATCATCAAGGATAGAACCAGATTCATAGAAGGGTTGTACCATGGAAATTCTGTCATAGAATCTTTCAGGAGATTCATCAGCTTCTGGGAAAACAAGACATGTGCATAAAGGGTTGTGCCTTATGCATAAAGAGTTGTAGTCTTGAAGAAGGTTGCATACCCTGTTGTACGATGTCGATTTGTTTTGAGATTTGTGAAGGGTATTTCCGTAAATTCCTACAGGGGACAAGATTCATTGTATCAGGACAAAAGAACTTCTAAAGTTTTCAACCCAATGAACAAAACCAACATAAAGATTCAACTCTTTTGAAAAAAAAAAAAAAAAAAAAAACCAATACATAGAAGGGTTGTACTTTATACATAAAGAGTGGTACCATCTAAAATTATTTTCGAGATGAAGTCAACATGTCTAAAGAGGCATACAGAGTTGTATTTTATATGCATATGGGGTGGTTGTAGTATGTTAGTTTTGCTGTTTTGGTTATATTCTGATGGGTATTTTTGTAATTTGACACAGAGGGAACACTCCATTCTGTAGCCAAGAGTGTAGACAAGAACAGATTGAGAATGATGAGGCAAGAGAGAGGAGATGGAAGAAGGTTTCTTCTTCATCATCATCATCCAAGAAATCAACAGAGAATTCCAAGAAATCTGCAACTGTGCAAACTGGAACCCTTGTTGCTTCAAATTAATCAATTTACAAAATATTATGTAAATTACATAATTACCCCCTTTCTGATCAAGAAAATATGAGGGGAGGGGATGAGTAAATTGGAGAAAGTTGGGGGGTTTTTTGGCTTGGTTTTGTATAGAAGTGATGGTGGCCTGATGGGTGTTGTCATTTGTCAAGACTCATATGATGATGATGATGGCTGGTGATGACGAAGAGAAAAGACAAAGATACCCTTAGAGACAAATTTTGCCCTTTTCTCTTTTATTTTTTAAATTTCTGCGATGTTTTTGTTTTTTTTAAGCGATCATGTCTTGGGGGTTTTTTTTTATAAAAATGAGAATTACCCAACTTAACCATGTCGTAAATTTTGAGTTTTTTAATTCTGCAATTATATTATGATAAACATTTAAACCGTTCTTATGTGTTTGCTTTCTTTTTTACCTTATAATTTAGGTTTGTGTTGTTTACTTCTTTAAGCCTTTTATTTTAACAAGGGGCAACCAAAAGTCCAAAAGGGAATAAAGTGTGTTAGCACTTAGCACCCAAGTTAATTACAAAATATTTATTAAACTATGGGGGGTTGCATCCCATATAAGCAGGAACCCCATAAATGATCAAATGGAAAAAGTAGTAACATATTTTTGTCAATTTGTTTATTACAGAATTCCACTTTCATTTTTTCTTAATACTAGCAAAAAATCTACATCATCCAAAAACTAAGCAGAAATCGTGCATGGGGTTAATATAAATAAACTCAGAAAAATCAAGAATTTTTATATGTTCATACCACAAGACAAAATTGTATTTTTTTGGAGTTTTAGTCCAAACCACGACTTTTTTGAATTGGTGGTCCTTTTGAGGTAAATTCGTTGCGTTTTTTGTCTATAGGTAACTGAAATGACCGTAATGCCTTTCTGATATATATATATATATATATATATATATATATATATATATATATATATATATATATAATGTTTTTTCTATTTAATTTAAATGAAAAAAATAATTAATTAATTAATTTGGACCCACATCTCTCTCTCTCTCTACAAACACACACACACAATCCCCACCCCCATTCTTCCCTAGTCGAACCATTCACCTTCATCGCTCCTTGCTTCACCCCACACCTTCGTCTTCTTCTCTAATTTACTTTCGCCTCATCACCGGTCTTTGTTATCGCCTGAAGTCAGCTATCCACAGGAAAAGGGAACAATAGCCCAAAATTATCCCCATGTAATCATCCATCGATTGACTGCTGTTGAACCAAACCTTCTAAAGAATCTAAACAACTCAAAGATTTCCCAACTTCATCATTTCATTCACTATGAAACAAATGGTTTATACATCAAACAGATTACAACGGAAACCTTACTACATATACACTCACTCTCATACAAAACTAAGAACAATACAGACAACTGTAAGAAGTATGAACAAACCCTAAATTGGATCGTAGAGAGAATGAACAGAGAGAATGAACAGTTTTCACACACTAAAATATCTAGTCTCACTTAGACAAATGAAGTTGAAACTGAGTACATATACCCTGGATCATAACACCATCGGGTATAACCAGCGACCCGCATGTAAACGCGATACCTGCACAAACATAACAAAACACACCCCCACAAATATACAAATATGCAATACTTACCCAATAATTAATTAATGTTTAGGTTTGTAACAATTATAAACATAACACTTCTCAACATGCCCCCTCAAACTAAACATTAATTTTAGAAAACATGAATTTAACCAACCTTTTTAAACACATCAATCATATTAAGTCGATTCACAATATACTCATGTTGTACACTACCAAGAGATTTTGTAAGTATATCTGCATTTTAATTTGAAGACACAATTTTATTCACTTTAAGTATTCCATTTTCAATTTTTTCCCTAACAAAATGAAGATCAACTTCAAAATGTTTTGTTTTTTCATGAAAAACAGGATTTAGAGCTAATTTAATTGCAGACTCACTGTCACAAAAAACATCCACAGGTAAATTTGATTTTATACCCAAATCATAAAGCAATTTTAAAATCCAAATTATCTCACAAGTTATACTACCTAAAGCCCTGTATTCAGATTCAGTAGAAGAGCGAGAAACATTACTATGTTTCTTACTCTTCCATGAAACAAGGGATTCACCTAAGTACACTAGATAACCAGATACAAACCTTCGACTAATAAGACATTTAGCCCAGTCTGCATCAACAAAACCAACCAAATTAAAACAGCTAGACTTTGTCAAATGTATTCCCATACATGGACTGTTTTTCAAATACCTCAGCAGTCTGAAAGCAATATTAACATGAGATTTATATGGCTTATGCATGTATTGACTCAACAGTTGAACAACATAAGAAACATCAAGTCTAGTCACAGTAAGATAGATCAATTTCCCAATAAGTTTCTGGTATTCAGTTATATTGACCAAATAATCAGATTTTTCCAAATCATATTCTCTTTTAATGACCAAATTAGGCTCAAGTGGTGTTTTAACAGGTTTACAAGGAAGCATCCTAAATTCATGGAGTAATTCCATACAATACTTTCTTTGATTAAGACAAATTCCATTCTCAGTTTTTAATACCTCAATACCTAATAAATATTTCAGATCACCTAAGTCCTTGATTAAAAACTGAGACTTAAGGAAGCTTTTAACATTATTTAATTCAGCTTCATTATTACCAGTTAAAATAATATCATCTACATAGACAAGAAGAACAACAATTGTATCTTGACAATTTCTAACAAATAAGGAATAATCATTTATGCTTTGCTTAAAGCCAAAACTGGAAAGAGAAGAACAGAGCTTCTCATTCCACTTTCTTGGAGCTTGTTTAAGCCCATAAAGTGATTTTAATAACCTGCAAACTCTGACATCATCCTTAGAATGATATCCTTCAGGTTGATTCATATATACACACTCAGACAAATTTCCATATAAAAATGCATTGTTAATATCTAACTGATAAAGAGGCCAAAAATTATGAACAACCATAGAAACAACAACACGAACTGTTACTATTTTAGCTACAGGAGAAAAAGTCTCCTCATAATCTATACCCTCTCTTTGGTTATAACCTTTAGCAACAAGTCTGACCTTATATCTTTCTATATCACCATTGGACTTATACTTGATTTTATAAATCCATCTACATCCAATGGCTTTTCTTCCCTTAGGAAGGTTAGTTATTTCCCAGGTATTATTTCTATAGAGAGCCTCCATTTCCTCATTCATGGCCTTGATCCAATTAGGATCCAAAGCAACATCACTATATGATTTTGGCTCAACAGTTTTATTCAGACTAGAAACAAAGCAAAAATTATCCTTATTAAGAGTTGAATAGTTAACAGACCTTTCAATTCCATATTTATGCTTACCCTCTACAACATAATCAATAAATCTAACTGGCATGTTAACATTCCGACCAGATCTAGTAACCCTAGTTGACAAACTATCAGAAGGATCAGAATTTAGTGAATCATTTTCCTCAGAAAAAGCAGAAGAGTTTGGAAGCATCTCACCAGAAGGAGGCACATATGCCTCACCAGTCTGGTTGCTGACATTAGAGGGACAAGTCTCATCCAGGTTATGGTCTGCATTAGCACCATCCAACTGATGGTCACTTCTCAAACTTTCTAACCTAGTGTTATCTAGAACAAAACTAGAGTCAATTGAGTCATCATAGGAAAACAGGTCATTTGAGTCTACAGTGACAACAGATTTATCTGTCAAAGATGAGGATTTAAGCTTGAAAGGAAACACTGACTCGTAGAATTTTACATCCCTGGAGACAAAAACAAAATTGGAATCAAGACTAAGTACTTTATAACCCTTTTTATCAGAAGAATAGCCAAGAAAAATACATTTATCAGCCCTTTCAGAAAACTTATCTGAATTATTTAACTTGGTGGCAAAACATAAACATCCAAAAACTCTAAGTTTATCAAAAACTGGTGTACTATTATAAACAAGTTCATAGGGAGAAGCACCATTTAAAACAGAAGTAGGAGTTCTATTAATCAGGAAAACAGAGGTTAGGATAGCATCTCCCCAGTACTTGATTGGTATACCATATTGAAACATTAATGACCTAGCAACATTTAAAATATGTCTATGTTTTCTCTCCACAACACCATTCTGTTGTGGAGTATGAACACAAGATGTTTGATGTAAAATTCCTTTGGACTCAATCAATTGTCTCATCCTACTATTTAAAAATTCAGTACCATTGTCAGATCTAACAATCTTGATTTTAACAAAAAACTGATTAAGTAAAATATTAAAGAAAGTAAGAACACAATTATAAACTTCATCTTTGGACTTCAACAGATAAACCCAAGTTGCCCTAGTATAGTCATCCACAATTGTCAAAAAATATCTAAATCCTTCTGTAGTTGTCACTCTATAGGGATCCCAGACATCTAAATGGATTAACTCACTAAGTTTAGAAGTAGTATGTTGACTAATAGGAAAGGGTTGTCTAGTCTGTTTAGCTTTATGACAAACATCACAAGGTGGAAGATTTTCATTTCCAATTTTAAGTTTGTTCCTTAAGGAACTTAAGGCTTGATCAGAAGGATGACCAAGTCTATTGTGCCAAGTTAATTTAGACACATAACAAACAGAAGAGGAAATAGATGAACTAGATAGATTACCTGAAGGTACACTATTTATGTAATAGAGACATCCAGACTCTCTACCATTCCCCACCATCACATTTGATTGTAAATCCTGAATTTTACAATTATGTTCATTAAAAACAACTTCACGGTTACTGTCTTTGCAAACCTTATGCACAGACAACAAATTAACATTGAAATCAGGAACAACAAAAACATCAAATAGAGTCAAAGAACTAGACAAATTCATATTACCAATTTTATCAATTTTAGCTTATGTACCATTAGGATGACTGACAAGTAATTCTAACTTAGACACATCCACAGTGTCATGAAGCAGTGACTCAGAAGCAATCATATGTTGATTAGCTCCTGAGTAAACTATCCATTTTTGACCATTAACAGAAGCATTAAAGGCTTTAAACAAACAAGTACCTGCCATATTTGCACTAGCAGAAGCTTCCTCATTGACTTGCCTATGACCAATAAGTTGTAAAAGTTTGACATATTGATCCTTAGTGAGTTGATGAAACTCAGAATCCCCAATGGAGTCAGAAAAATTATTAGTACCAGTACTTCCAGAAGAAGTAGTGGTTGAGTTTGCAGAAAAATTCTTAACAAAATTATTTTGATTATTTGTTTCACTTCTTGACTTAAAATCCTTAGGATATCCAATTAACTTGAAGCATTTTTCTATGGTATGACCTTTCACACCACATTTCTTACATTGAACTATTTGACTCTTATTCTTATTATTATTGTTCCTATTATTAAACCT